TTTCACCCCCCTACATCTCCCCGCTACTTCCTCTCGGCACGACCTTACATTTAAGACAGACTCGGGTCACTTTTCCGACTAAGATAAATTTATGTTATCCTTCTCTGCCTTCTTGCCTGGTACCCTTCCAGCTCTCCTTTCCTAGCTAGAGCACCACTAGGTACCAACCTACCGCCATCAAAATCTCGGCAAATCTACTCCATGATAATAATGACGGAGGGTGACTATACGTTGTCGTCAGTGGGAGCCCTACTTACGAGATGCCATAAGGGTCTGCCACCTTCTCTTTGGTTGTCTCCTCAAAGGCTGTTTCACAAATGAGACCCTCGCATCGGAGAGTCTAGCGGTTGTGGGGGCACCTTAATATACATTTTTAACCGAAACGGAGCAGGTTTTCCTGCGTGCGTCAGGTTTCTTCTCGTTTAACGAAGATATTAGGCCTTCAAGGCAGACGGTACATTTGTGTGGACGGCCTTGCCGATGTATCAGGTCGAGATTGAAATTACGTGGTCGCTCCGTTGCGGATGAACTTTTTAGTTGGTTTTTCGGTTTTTAGGATTAACGCTCACGCGAAGTCTTTATTGACGCTGAGGTTCGAGCGTTTCTCTCGGCATTTGTTGTCGCCATGAAAAAAGTAGCCATTGCATATACGTATTCGCCCATATGGTTCTTCTTGGCTTATAGTTTTCTTCTCTGTTTACTTGACCTATCTTGTCTCATCTGTCTTCCTCACTCGCGTGTCGCACGCGCGTAACCCCGTCGAGGTCGCCTCGTCCGCCGCGCGCGCCATCTGCCAGCACCAACGCGAATCCCGGGTTTAAGCTCTATGGCCGAGCTTCCATAACGGAAGGGATTTGATTTATATTCGACGTTCGAATTGTTTATGGCTCATTCGGTCTATATTACAGGTTTTACATCGTGCCGCGTCGTGTCCGCCGAGCCGTAGTAGAATCCGCCAGACGGAAAAAGAGAGAGGAACATTGGGGGGGAAAAAAGGAGAATTATCATACGCGATTCGCTATCATTCAGCGCGTCAGTCGTAGTCTCTTGCTCGCTCTGGATATCCACCTTTATGCATCTCGTTAAACAAGCGGAGCCGAATTTGATTTATTAACAGCGAGTTTACATCGAACCAAAGTCGTCCGCTCCTGTTACAGAGACGAGGTTACACCATCGAAGACCTCTTGTATAGGATTCACGCGAGTCGTCCGACTCGAGTTAAAATTAAGCCGGTCGTTAATTTCCTTTTTCTTTTTCCTCCTCTTTCTTTCCTTTTGTTCCGTCTCTTTGGAAGTCATCCCACTCTTTTGCTCTTCTATGTTTTTTTTTTCACGTCTCGTTCCACATTTCCACTGCGGCTCCAGGCCTTCAATTTTTTCGATCTTTTCACGCGCCACGTGTGACCGTATACACCAGTAACAGGCAAAGCCAATGGCGCATCCTCACTGACGTTTATCCCTTCTTTTTTATTTTTACCTTCCAGACTCATTCGCACCGGACTTTACGGCTGCTGCGTCCGTCCCGAAGTCCAGCCAGCTAAAGGACGCCGGTGAGTAGTTCACGGAGTCACCGTATTATTTCCCTCTACGAAAGAGGCGCCACGTGTTCCGTAACACTGGAAACAGGGCTTTTCCCTAGGGGAAATTTCATTCGGCGGGTATACTGCCAACCTTAAAAATCGACGAAGACACCGGGGGCGCCACTGCTCCTCGGCGTAACTACGCGTATATTGGCTCTGGCTGTGTATAGACGGGCAAACGGCGGATCCAAACCTTCCGTTTACCCGGAGTCCATGTATGGATAGGGGTATGACGGGGTTGCCGGAGTCAGGTACGTTAGACGTGGGCGAAACTGAAATTCATCGCACGGCTCTCGAACCCTGTTCCCTCGGTGCCACTTTACACGAAGGGCTCTCGGCTTCGTGTTCAACGCGGAGTCTGCGCTTTCCTGCTGTCCTGTCACCCTTATACGAGTCCCCCGTCAAATACCCCCTTATCGTCCTGGCGCCGTACCGAGTCCCATACGAATTTTCCGGAGACCTTACGATCCCCCCCGACTCTCGGAAAACTTGGGCACGAACTACGAATACAAAGAGTCGCCGAGTCGAATGCGAGGAGACACGAGAAAATGACAAGGGTTTTATTTGTTTTTCTTTTCTCTCTCTTTTTTTTAACCCCTATGCGAAAAATATTTTTTAAGAGGATCGAATGTCGATATGCGTCTCACGTATGTTCGATACATTTAAGGTATGGGTGTATGCATAGGACAGGGGCGCACGTGTTACCGAAGCTTCGTACGCGCAGTAGGAAAGCAGCTTGGAGGAGGAGGACCCGAACTCCATCAGGAAATGAAGTCCCTTTTGGATACTAAAATGTCGCGAAGGTACCCCCCCCCCC